ACTGAGCTTGCAACCCAGGCATGTCCCCAGACCGGGAATGGAACTGTGATCTCCTGGTGCATAGGTCAAAGCTCAACCACTGAGCCACACCGGGGAGCAAGAACTGGTATTTGTCTTACTTGGTGATGGTGAGGAGCACAAATAGCAGTGGAGGTCCCAGGGTAGGGACAAGGGGAGAGCAGGGATCAGAGAGGCTGCCCCAAAGTCAGTGTCCCCACAGGGGTGAGGAGGAGGACACAGGGACCCAGGCATGTGTTGATCTTTCACTCTGCAAACTGGTCCAAGAACTTGAGGTAGGCCTGGCGCTGTGATGCAGCTGCTGGAATGAAGTGGCCACCAGAGTGGGTGAGAGTGATGGATCCAGTGAATCGGCTAGCCAGTTGCATACTCTCCTGAGAGGGGATGACACGGTCAGTGTCCCCAAAAACATGGAGTGAAGGCAGCGACAAGGGACCCTGCAGGACGGATTCCTGGAGGCCAAGGCCCCGAGGACAGAAACCAGATACCAAGATGATAAACCTCGGCAAGGGGAAACGGGGATCGCCTGCTTGGCCAAGGGCACACACAAGGGCTGCTAGCGCTGCCCCCAGGCTGAAACCAAGGAGCCCATCAAAAGGTCCCAGCACGTTCAGTGCCTGTGCCACCGTCCCCAGGGCTTCTTCCAGACCTCTGCACACGGCGGGCTCTTCCAGCGCGGAGAAAACGTCTGCCCCCTGTTCCGAAAACCACCAGCCTCGAGGCTGCTCCTCCGGAGGGCAGGACCCTACAGAGATACGGGGGATGGGGTGGGGTTAGGGCAAGGGGGATGCAGGAGGAAAGAAATGAGAAAGGGAGGGTTTGGGAATGACAGGGAGAGAAGCAAGTCTGAGGTTGGGAATAGATTGATTGGCAAAGGGAAGGGCGGGCGGAACAAATCAAAGTGTAAACATGGGAGGCTGGGATGAAAGAAATGACAGGTATGGGTAGAATGAAGTGGGAGGGTGGGAGGAATGAATGATAGAGTGGGGGTGCGCTGAAAAGTGTTTTTAGAGACGAGGCAAGATAGAGAGGACTCGAGGCAAAATAGAGAAGACTCGGAACGCATTTCCGGGGCAGGACTCCTCTCACCGGACTCCGGCCCGGCGCCCGCTGGGTCCACGATTGGGTGCGGGCCGCTGAGGCACACAAGCTCGGCGCGGCCCCGCAGCGCCTTCCTCAGCGCTCCCGTCTTCTCGCGGAAGCCCCGCTCGCTCTGCCGGAAACCCGCCAAGCACAACACGCGCAGAGGCTGCGGCGCAGCCATAGTGCGGGGCAGCACGCCAGAGGGGACGGAAACGGCCTCTCCCCGAGCGGAAGTTGAATTACGCGAGGGGCGGAGCCAAAAGGCCGGCAACACCCTGAAGGCGGGCCTCAGAGCGAGCGAGCGTTCCCAAGACCAGGCCAGGCGGCTTGGGGGGGCGCGGCCAACGCAGGGCGGATACCTGAGACTCAGGAGCGTCTCACGGAGCGAGTGGCACCACTTCCTCGTCTCTGCAGCTGCAACCCTCGCAAGTCACGGCTGGAGAAAGGCGCGCGGATCCCTCCTGCATCTGAGTTGCACACTTTGGTCAGGGTCCCACTTCTGCGACGTCGTCGCATGCATTTCCCGTAGCGGCCGCATGGCGGCGGCCTCGGCACGCGTCGCTAGGGAGCGACCACTCCTCCCTCCTTGGGAGTCCCTGCCTACCTTCCCCAGCGCAGGCCGGCGGGGTGCCTGGGAGGGCCGGTCTCGTCCGTGGTTCACCGTCCACGGCCCCAAGGAGCTGCCAGCATAGAAGTCCATGGGGTAGGGCTGCTGCCAGGAAATGTCCCGCAGGGCCACCGCCGCCTAGAGGAGGAAAACCGGACAAAAACATTTGCCAACACTTTTCTGCACAGGATTATTTCATCCTCACAATGGCCTAGAGAGCCTGTTATCAATGTAACACAGAGGGAATGTCAGGCTCAGAGGTTAAGAGACTTGCCCAAGGCCACTCAGCTAGGAAGTGGCTCAGCTGTAACTACTAGCAAGTACTGCCCGCCTACCCCACTCCACTTCAGATCCCTCCCTGACACAACCAGGTGCAAAGTCCACTCCCTCAAATGTTGGTTACCTCGTACGGTGTCAGCAGCGGCTTGGGGAAGGCTGTGCCCCAGTCAATGGAGAGGCGTGGACATGCCACCTGTACCCACCTGGGAAGGGAAGTCGGATCAGACCCGAGGGAGGTCTTCCCCTCTCCTGGGCAGCATGTGAAGAACAGGACTGTGTCCCCAACACGCCCAGTGAATGCTTATTATGAATTCTAAAGTGAAGACGGTAACGTACTGCTGATTAGAATAACTGTAGCGTTGCTTGTCTTCTGTTTCCTTCCCCGACTACACGCTTTCTGAGGGCAGGGCCTGGGCAACTCCTTTGTGATAGTATTCCCAGAATCAAATTTAGTGCCTGGTACAATGCAGATGCCAATGTCATCTCATACAGAACCACTGTGATGGTGCAGTTGTTTGTCAGCTCCGAGACAGACAAAATATGTGTGATCTAGAGCAGCCCCTGCTGGATGAGTGCTCTGTAAATATTAGACTTTCATGATCATGGAAGCAATTCCTATTGACTCCAGCCCTCCATATGTGCAAGGCAGGACCCAAATTCTAAACTTCGCTAGCCAGTCGTAGCTAGATAGATAAGGAGGAGAAACTTACACGTCCACCTGCGGGAGCAGACTGAGCTTGCTGGGGAAGATCTCGGAGAGCAGCAGCCTCACGAAGGGAAGTCCCAAGGCTTGCAGCCTGGATTCCAGGTGCTGGTGGTAGAGGAAGGCAGAGCTGGAGTCGTCATGATCAAGCTGCCAAGGCTAAATTCTTTGGCCTACTGATTTTTCCTACTGCCTGATGGTTTCCCAGTCAGTCCCTTCCCCAGAGGCCATCCCAAGCCCTCTGACCTCCAGAATCTTGGGGCTACCCTGACGGCCCAAAGTGCCCAGGATAAGGCCCCAGGATTTAGCTGAGCGGGCAGTGGCTATGGTTTCTTGGCAGTTAGTCTGCATTTGCTGATGGTCATAGTGCTCTCTGGATAGGACTTTGCTGTATGGATCATATCTGGAAAAGAAGCTGTCAGGGTCACAATGACAGCCACTTGTGGGACTTGGGCTGTACACACAGCTCCCTGACTCAGCCCCTTGGTCTCCTGAACCTTCAGGCTCCATGCAGGTAATTAGGAACAGAGGCAAGCACATGGATTGTCATTGGGAAGACCAGTCCCACAGCAGGGCAGGCAGGAGTGGGAGCGGGTTTTAGGATATCCATGTGAATCCCAGGGGACGGGTAGGTACTGTGCAGCAGCAGCACTAGGTTTGATATTAGATTCAGGACCCAAGTACCTCATATCTTTAGGGCTGGCGGCTGCTAAAGGGCCAGAGAATGAGGATTTGGCTGATTGAGGGCCTCAGTGGCAGAGAATCCCACCCTCCCCCCAACTGGTTGGTCCAGGTCAGCCCATACCGGTAAGCAGGGACATCGGGGTTGGCAATCATGACAGACTCCAGATGGAAGGGGCCATCTCCAAATATCTGCAGGGGGGCCAAAACGGGGCGGTGGTAAGTGTGGTGGGGCAACAGAAGCAGCAGGCACTGGCTTGGGGTACAGAGGACTGCGTTCTTGGCTGGCCGTGCCTCCTGGCTGTATGTGAACTGGAACAAGTCACTTCACCTCCTGAGGTTTTGGTTTTCTTACATGTAAAAAAGGAGCTTGAACTGGATGACCGTAAAGCCCCTCTAGTTGTATGATGCAGAAGCTAAGAACCCCCCCCCAACCTTCTGGGGGTAAAGGCACAGCTGAGGCCAGGTAAGGCTGCTCCAGGCTGTAGAGATCCTCACTTGGAGGTGGGGGGGAGGGGGGAACATATTCTCCCTCGCTCAATACAGACAAGGGAGTAATGTTCAGGGTGTCATCTAAGCTGTAAATGAGGTTCCGGTTACACACTGGCTACTCTCTGCCCTAACTAGCTCCTGGGTCCAGCTCCTGAGTTGTAACAATACTGTTTATTGGACTCGTGCCTGCTGTGCACTGGGCCTGGGCTAAGCACCTGGCATGGATGACTTCACTCAGACCTATCGAATAGTCCTCTAAGCTACCTATACTGTTCCCATTTTACAAGATACAACTGAGGTTCAGGGATGGTAAGAAACTTGCCTACCCCTGGTCAGTGTGGCTCAGTTGGTTGTCCCATGCACCAAAAGGTTGCCAGTTGGTTTGATTCCTAGTCAGGGCACATGCCAGGTTGTGGGCTCGATCCCCAGTAGGGGGTGTGCAGGAGGCAGCCAATCAATGTTTTTCTCTCTCTCCCCCCCTCTTCCTTCCTCTCTCTCTTAAATCAATAAAAACATACTTAAAAGCCCTAGGTGGTTTGGCTCAGTGGATAGAAGAACTTCAGCCTGTGGACCTAAGGGTCCCAGGTTCGATTCCAGTCAAGGGCACATACCTGGGTTGCAGGCTCCTCCCAGGCCCGGGCCCTTGGCAGGGCGCGTGCAGGAGCAACCAATCAATGTTTCTCTCATATCAATATTTCTCTCTGTCTTTCCCTCTCTTCCACTCTCTCTAAAAAAATCAATGGAAAAATATTCTCAGGTGAAGATTAAAGAAAAAAAAGAAACTTGCCCAAGTCACACATCTATGGAGCAGTATATCCAGGGCTCAGCTCTAGGCCTAACCATCAGGAGGCTGTACCCAGCATGCCCTGGGAGATGCTATCTCTAACAGTACCTTCGCAGAACACGAAGAGGCCAAAGCAAGGAAGCAAACCTGCCATGGCAGCGCCTTCTCTGGGAGACCACACCGAATTCTGAGGAATGGCCAACACTCAGGGTTTCCCTCCCAACATGCACGTCAAAGGCCCCAAGGGTGGGCATCTGTGAGCTCAGTTATGCAGACAGAGGCACAAGGGAAATGCCTCTTGGGAAGCAGGACCGCCAGGCCTGGGCTGGCAGCGGGCAGGGGTGTCTATGGGCCGGGGTGTCTATGGGCCGGGGTGTCTATGGGCAGGGGTGTCTGTGAGCACAGCAAGACCCGTGGAACCAGAATCTGCAGCCCCAAAGGTGGGCTAAGGCAGGGGAGTGCCCCTGCCTCCTTTCCTGCCATTAGCTAGGAGCGGGGCTCCCCTCCCAGTCCCAGCCAGGAGCTGTCAGCTCTGAGGTTGGCTGCATTCACACAACATTAAGCATTTCCATTACCTAAAATAATTAGGCAGCAGGAGACACGCTGCTCCTACTTGTTAGCTGTCCGGATGCTAAATTAATGGGGCTACAGCCTGGGTATACCCATCCATCTTCTCCAATTATAGTCCCACCATTTGTAGCCCACCCTCACCCCCCATCAGGCCCTCTGGTTCCTGCCCCACCCTGAGCATAGCCTTCCGGACAGTGGACGAGGGTGCTGGTGAGGGAGACAGGAAATCTGAAACCCTATTTGGACCCCATCTTGCAGGTGACCTTGAGCAAATAGTTAAGGAGTTTTAGACTCCCAGGGTACATTTCTTATGTCTGTAAAATTGACACCCCCATTTTTCACTTACATAACAGCCTCCACCTCTTTGGGCAGGTAGGGTGATGTGCAGCCCAGAATCTCCCCAGGGGACAGGGGCTTACACTGTGGGACACTAATGCGATACTCAGCTTTCAGCTCCTGGGCAACTGCCTGTAGGGAAAACAAGAGAAGGAAAGCAAGTGGATGGGGAGGGAGAGCCAGGGCCAGAGGACCAGCCTCGGCACCTGGCACGGGGACCTAAGAATAGCTTAGAGACTGGCTGCTGTCTGTCCACTTACCTGCAAGGTTGACACAAACTGTATGGTGCTGACCAGAGCCAGGGCACTGGCTGGGGGAAAGGTGCGGCGGATAGAGTCCAGTAGGTGGGTAGTGTCTATCCGGATGTCCACAAAGACATACAACACCCGGAAGTCTTGGGCAGAGGTGTCCATGGGAACTGGGAGGAGGGAAGAGAGAGGAGACTGTGGTTTGGAAGGCAGAAGGCCTGGCCCAGGCCAACGTCTCTGAGAAGCCAATGGCTTCAAGCTGGGGATAGAAGTGGTGGGGGAGGGGGGCGTCACAGGTCTGTTAGAGGCTCCTCCTTGGTCACTTGGGGGGGGGGCGCAGGGGTAAGGGGGCAGCCTGTTATACCAACAGCCTTTCAAACACCTGTATCTGGGACAGCAGCATGGTTTCCAAGGCAACCAAATCCAAAGGAAAGATCCACCTGCAGAGCAGGAAGGCTGAGGCCATCCCAGAAACCAGGAG